GACCTTGAAGTATCCAGCCTTCACGCAGTCGATGACAGGGGCCTTGCTAGGGGTTGCCTGTTCCTTGATTGGCTCAGGTACAAGTGACCACAATCGGTCAACATTCACTGTTGGGCAGTAATATTGGTTCTTGTTCAGATGGAATACTCGCATACCAACCTAAAGAATAAGATTGGAGAAATCCTCCAGATAAATATTGCTTTTTTGCATAAACTAACCTTTCCGAAAAGACCAGGATGGAACTTGTCACGGTTGATTCTGTGATGATGTTGCCCACCAGCCTTACCGCGACCACCGGGATGCTTTCTATGCTTTCCAATACGTCCATGTCCATGTGACACATGTCCCCTAAGCTTTCGAGTCTTTCTCTTGGCGTGGGCCATACCCTGAAATAGTGCAGTTTTTAGGTAGAAAACTGAAGTTCAACAAAAAAAAAACTGCAACAGTGCATAATTTGAATTGTTAGTGAAAGCAAGTCGATGGAACATCGTCGCAAAATTAACAGGAGATATGAAGTTTTGTGAGTAAGACTCTACTTTATTGAAAAGGATAGGAGTTCAATCACATCTTAGACACTAAGTAATAATTACAAAAGAATTGCAAAAAATAAACTGCTCAATAGAGCTCAAGCCCAAGCGGAAAACTAGTAAGAATTTCTCCCAATATAGTACAGAACACTAGCAAAACTCCCCAAGAATCTTTCCTTTTATGATCTTTCTAGCATAAATGGCATTGTCACACATTTTAAATAGTGAGAAAAGGACTCCCAACTCCAATAATTGCAGCAAACGAAAAAATCCTCGAAATGGTTTAGGCTGGTTTGAAGAATTAAGCCACCCCAATGAGAGACGCAGAGAAAACTGCGACTTCGTAGTGGCCGCACAACATGCTGGCAAATGTTCAACGTGTTCGGAAAACTGCGTGGCAGTCCTCGACAATTTTAGCGACCTTTAAAAACGGCTTCGTTGCGGGACGATTTTGCAAGACTTTTTGATTTGGAATGATGAAAATATGGAATTCTCATTTTTTCTAGTGTTTGCAGATTAGCCAGAGCTTTAGTCTCAGTATGGCTTTTACTATGAATGACAAAGTTTTAGTAGCAGTGAGGGGTGATTTTACTGTTATAAAGTTCGTGCACCTGCTGGACTTTGGACTTCGCGGCTTAGTTGTTTATTTTTCATCACTCTTTCAGTCTAGTCTTATTAGTCTTAA